GTGTACGAAGGGGCGCCCGCTGTTCTGGGGGCCGGCCCGCCGGGCCCCTCCGCCTCCCGGTGGCCGCTTGCATGTCCTGCTCCCTGTCTGCAGCTGCCTGGCCTGCAACCTGCGGGAAATGAAAGCTTCATTGAGCCGCTGGGAGGGTCCGGGAGTGGGGGAGGTGACTCGGCCGTGGCCAGCTCCCGGGGGAGGGGAGGACCAGAGCAGAAGAGGAGGGAATCGGCCAGCCGGCCGGGAGGAGAGGATGGAGGGAAAAGGCGGAATGTGGGAGGGCTCAAGGGGACGTGGGAGGGACAAACGGAGAAGGGGGAGGAAGGGGGGGGTCCAGTCTCCCCTGGCCAAGCACTTTTTGGGGGAAGTCCTAGCACTGATCTCCAGGACCAGGACTCTTCTCCCAGCCCCTAGGCTCTTCTCAGCCAAAGGTAAGGGAAGTCAAACTGGCAGCCGAGGAAGGGGAGGTGGAACAGACAGGACGGTGGAGACACCAGAGGAAAGGGTGGTATATGATGGAGTCAGGGAAAGCCAACCAACGGAGAGTTTTATTATTGTCAAAGAGGAGCGAGACAGGCAAGTCGAGAGAGGAGGAAGGTCCTGGGGCCCCCGCAGCAGCAGGGGGTTCCAAATAGGGCTCCCAGAATGGCCCTAAGCTGGGGTCTCCTCTTCGAGGCCCTATCCCTAGGCCTTCAAGCCAAAATGTCCCCCAGAACAAAGCTGTCTTGTTGGGTTGTTTGTCTGGGTTGGGGAAGCATATTCAGGGGCCTTCTGGCTGTGGAGGGACTGTTCTCGCCCCGGACAGAGAAGGCCTTGGCCAGGGAGCCCCGATAGTGCCCTGGCCAACAGTTGCCGGGTGACAGCAATTGTGGTGTTGGCAGAAAGCTTGAAAAACCCACCTCATGGATCGCCCAGCTTGAGGCCTGGCCCTCCTGGGCCCCTTGATCCTGCAGGGCCACTGTGAGTCTGTTGCCGGGAGTGTGTGCAGAGAGATCTCTCTCCCTGCATTCTTTGGTGTCTGCCCTCCTGGGGAGTCTGTCCAGAAAGCATTGGTCTCAACGCCTATTCAGGGGACCTGAGATCTGCGGGTCTCCCAGCCATCCTCTTGACTGCCCAGCTCCACAGTCCGCATCAGTACAGCTGTCCGTCCTCTGGCTAAATGGGGTCATCCCGGTCGCTTTCACTGTGCTCCTCAGCTCTGGCAGCCCCTTGCTCCCTTATGTGCTGCCAGCTCCCCCTCGCCCCCAGTCCTGTGTGCCTGGCGCCTTCCCTGCCACCTCCATCCCCCTTCGGTGTTGTGTCTCTCTTCACGGTCTCTCTCTTCACTGTCTCTGTTTCTCCCTTTCATTCCCACAGTCTCCCTACCTCTCACATCCCCTCTCCATGTGTCATCACTCGCTCTCTAGCTCTTTATCTTGCCCGTTTTCAGACAAGAGAATGGTCTCTAATCTTGGTCTCTGATCCCCGTCCTTTGAGCTCTGGCTCTCAGACTGGTGAGTGGCAGTGATGGAGATGGTGATGGCAGAGCTGGGAAGGGCACAGTGGGAAGGGCACAGTGGGACCTAACTAGCTGGGAGAGGGCTATTATTTATAAACCAGAGGGAGCGCCTCTCTCTCTCTCCCTTTCTCAGCCCTTGACCTCAGTGTCTCAGGCTGTACTTCTTGGGCTGTCTCTGCCCTTAATTACTGTGCATCTCTCACCATCTCTCTGGCTCCCGGAGGCGCTCTCTTTCTCTCATACTGCCTCTCTTGTCTTATTCCATGTCTGCTTTCCTTACACGGCTCTCTCTCTCTCTCTCTCTCTCTCTCTCTCTCTCTCTGTCTCACTCAATATCCCACACTCTCTCTCTGGGGCACCCAGGACTTCCCTGCCATGCCACCTGTCAGTGTCCGGCAGTGGAGCCCGTGGGGGCTGCTGCTCTGCCTGCTTTGTGGCTGGTGCTCCGGGTCTCCATCCCCTTCCACGGGCCCTGAGAAGAGGGCTGGAAGCCAGGGGCTGCGATTCCGGCTGGCCGGCTTCCCCAGGAAGCCCTACGAGGGTCGAGTGGAGATACAGCGAGCTGGTGAATGGGGCACCATCTGCGATGATGACTTCACGCTGCAAGCTGCCCACGTCCTCTGCAGGGAGCTGGGCTTCACAGAGGCTACAGGCTGGACCCACAGTGCCAAGTATGGCCCTGGAACAGGTGAGCAGTACTCCAGGTATAGCCGAAGTGCGTATTAACCAAGTATTGCCCACGCACAGGGAGCAGAAACACCAGGATGTGCAGCACAGCGACACAGGACACCAAGAACAGCCACTGTCCAAGTAAACCCATGGATGACAAGCCAGCCAACATAGTTACTTCCTAGAGCTGTGTGGCCTTAGGCTAGGCAGTGCTTTTGCTGAGCTTCAAATGTCCCATTGCAGAATTACTAGATAATCTCTAAGTTTCTTTTTGCTGTGAAAGTATGATTCTTTTTTTTTTTTTTTTTTGGAGAGGTTTTTCACTATAGGGCGCGTGCGCTCGCCAGACAGACAGAGAGAGACATAGAGACAGAAAGCGAGAAATCACCCCCCAGGGGAGATGGCCACGCCGCAATCCCTTCTCCTCCATTCTCCTCTCGGGATCTTGGGCACACACGCACACGCGCCCGGTGAAAGTATGATTCTACAAAGCCATGCACAAGGACACCCCAGATACAAGAGAGCCCCATATGATTCAAATATGATTGCTTTGGAGGCTCACAGGTGGTAGGTAAAGATGCTGGATTCCCATATGGCAGTTCAAGTCTCAGACCTGGCCACCGGCTTTCTCGCTTTCTCTCTGTCTCTCTGTCTTTCTCTCTCTCTCTGGTCAAGTTAAAGAAAAATAATAGCAAATGGAATTAAATAAATAATTCTTTTTTTTATTAAGTATGGTTGGTTTCACGAGAGGCTGAGAGCAGGTAAATGAGGTCTGGATGTCCCAATGCCAGAAGGGATCACAGATACTGAGGCTGACTCAATCAGGTTGTAGGCCTGAGCTGAAATGAACCCGCTGAAACTAGTAAAGGACAAGTATAAAGCTTAGGACGAATCTGAGTGTCGATGGTGGGGGCTTAAGAGCAACTCTCACTGAGGCCTGGAGATGTTTGCCTGGTATGATCCCATGGGACCGGTGGACAGGAAGTGTCCAGCCTGCAGCTGCTCCCCCAGGTCCTACTGGTTAAACAGCTCTGGAATCGCTGCGCTCATGTAGATGCCACATTGTAAAAGGGACAGTAGAAAATGGAACTATTTTCAGAAGAGAACTGCACACATGTAAAAGTTTCAGAAACTGGGGCCAGCAGGTGGCTTAGTGATTAAGCCGCTGAACTTCCACATGGCCAATCACGGTTCAAGAGCTTACTTTCTCACTTTTCCTCTCTTTGTCTCTGTCTCTCTGGTCAAATTAAATGAGGATGATGATGAGAATAAAATTAGATAAAATAATTCTTTGAAATTTTTTTTTTAAGTTTCAGATGCCAACTTTTAAGGAGGAATAGCTGAAGAAACTAGAGGTTTGGTATAGGGAAAAAAAAATACTTTTTAAAGCCTTGGATAGGGATCAGCAGTTGGTATTATGGCTATGTTGCTGGACTCTCATGTAGTTGATCTAGGTTCAAGTCCCGGACCCGGTGGTTTAAACCCACGTCAGGCGCGTGTGCATGCGTGCCCAAGAGGAGAATGGAGGAGAAGGGATTGCAGCATGGCCATCTCCCCTGGGAGGTGATTTCTCACTTTCTGTCTCTCTCTCTCTCTCTGGTCAAGTTAAAGAAAAATAATAGCAAATGGAATTAAATAAATAATTCTTTTTTTTATTAAGTATGGTTGGTTTCACGAGAGGCTGAGAGCAGGTAAATGAGGTCTGGATGTCCCAATGCCAGAAGGGATCACAGATACTGAGGCTGACTCAATCAGGTTGTAGGCCTGAGCTGAAATGAACCCGCTGAAACTAGTAAAGGACAAGTATAAAGCTTAGGACGAATCTGAGTGTCGATGGTGGGGGCTTAAGAGCAACTCTCACTGAGGCCTGGAGATGTTTGCCTGGTATGATCCCATGGGACCGGTGGACAGGAAGTGTCCAGCCTGCAGCTGCTCCCCCAGGTCCTACTGGTTAAACAGCTCTGGAATCGCTGCGCTCATGTAGATGCCACATTGTAAAAGGGACAGTAGAAAATGGAACTATTTTCAGAAGAGAACTGCACACATGTAAAAGTTTCAGAAACTGGGGCCAGCAGGTGGCTTAGTGATTAAGCCGCTGAACTTCCACATGGCCAATCACGGTTCAAGAGCTTACTTTCTCACTTTTCCTCTCTTTGTCTCTGTCTCTCTGGTCAAATTAAATGAGGATGATGATGAGAATAAAATTAGATAAAATAATTCTTTGAAATTTTTTTTTTAAGTTTCAGATGCCAACTTTTAAGGAGGAATAGCTGAAGAAACTAGAGGTTTGGTATAGGGAAAAAAAATAATTTTTAAAGCCTTGGATAGGGATCAGCAGTTGGTATTATGGCTATGTTGCTGGACTCTCATGTAGTTGATCTAGGTTCAAGTCCCGGACCCGGTGGTTTAAACCCACGTCAGGCGCGTGTGCATGCGTGCCCAAGAGGAGAATGGAGGAGAAGGGATTGCAGCATGGCCATCTCCCCTGGGAGGTGATTTCTCACTTTCTGTCTCTTTCTCTCTGTCTGTCTGGCGAGGGCATGTGCCCTGTAGCAAAAACCTCTCAAAAAAAACAGCCTTGGATAGCAATAATATGGTCGTTGTCTTCAAACATGGGAAGGACTGTGACTGAGGGAGTTTTCTAGACGGCAACGAAGAACCGAATCATACCTGGTAGAGGGAAGTCATAGAGTCCCAGGACTTTGTGATAGCCAGACAGTCTGGTGGGTCAAACTCTTAAACCCGTATGTATTAACCGTGTGGTCTTAGGCAAGTTACTTAACTTCTCGGAGCCCATTTCTTCATATAAAATGGTCTTCTGGCAGCTCTGTTCTAAGATCATGTGTGTGCATACCACGATAGACCACCCACCCAGCTATCACTGAATGGGCAGGACTGATAAGAACTTCAGTGCTGCTTCTCAGTGTTTACTCACCCCCAGATCAACACCAATCTTCCACCAATCTTATTTATGCCCCCCCTCCTCTTTCC